GGGGGGTGGCAGGGATTGCCAGGCATTTTACAAACACTAACGTATTTGATCCAACAACCCTACAAAGTGTGTAGGTATTTATATTATCCACCTTGCAGGTGGGGAAATAGAGCCACAGAAAGATTATGTAATTTCCCAAAGCTCTGCTCTTTATCAGCTAGGATATGAACCCAGGCAATACAGCCCTAGAGCCTAAATCTTTAGCCACTGTATAGACCTTCAAAAACCATTGGCCTTGAGCAGTAAGTTCCCAATCAAGCCAATTTTGCCTGTGGGACACATTTGGTGATGTCTGGAGACATCTGGTTGTCACAACTGGTAGTGAGATGCTACTGGCATCTAGGAGAGGCCAGGGATGCTGTTATAAATATCCATAACAAAGAACTATCTGGCTCCAAGTATCTCTAGGTTGACAAACACTGGCCTAGAGCACAGGGGCATTAGTCACAGGTGCCCAGTAAAATCACAGAGCTTTCCAAAACCCCAGTGCTCAGGCCATACCCCAGATCCATGAAATCCGAATCTGGAGGAACAGAACTCAAGACCTCAGCATTTTTGAGAGCTCCCAGTGACTCCAGGGTTGGGGACCTCAGTCTTGGAAGCAGCTGCTCTTGCTCACCGTGTCTGGCAGTGGTGTATAGGAAAGGCACCGGGACATGACCACAGGCCTCCAAGTCATTTCGCTCCCAAATACCCACGCAGATACCAGTCTGCATGCTTTTCCTGCTCCCTCAGTGAAAAATCTGATGAGGGTGCCCTCCCCCATCACCACCACCAACTCATCGGCAGAAGAACGTTCTCAGGGTACTTTTCCTATTAAGTGAGGAATCCTGTTCCCCAGCCCCACCAACCCACTGCTCCCACACACAGCACACACCTCAAGAATGGGAATAGAAATGACTGACTTTAATCAGTCTGCGATGAAATGAGCCTCTTTTAGAGGCCAGGTGGGGGTGGGGAAGCCCTGCGGCAGCTAGGGCACACTCCTTCAGGCACAGCTGAAGCAGACAGCTCAGAGAGACCACTGGAAAGGTGGAGGGAGGGAGAAGTGGGACTCACAGCTTCCCCTGAGTGGGTGAAAGTGGCTTCTGAGACCGCACAAAGCACCGGCCCCAGCCAGGTAGTGGGATAGGCCCCCATGCTGCCCATGCAGCAACCCCGTGTGACCACAGGGCAGCCCCATCCCTTCTTGGTTCTCTTCTTCCTCCAGCCCCAAAGGGGGAAGAGGTCCCTGAGCACATACAGCCCAGCCTGTGCCCAAGCTGGGTCAGACAGCCAAGCAGGAACTTAGACCCCAGTGACGCTCCCGGCTCAGCCTCAGAAACTCCCACTCTGCCATCTGTCCTCCAGGCTGTGCCCCAGTAAAGGCACAGCGGCAGGATGGGGGGCTGGCAAAAGTGGCTCCTGACCAGGGTGGCAGACCGTGTCATCAGCAGGATGGCCTTGCTGTGCCTGCCTGTCACACCATCTTAACCTCCAGGGTTTGGGCCCGTGATAGGTTCTGGCGCTGGGCTTTGACCATGTGCAGGCGTCTCCCGTGCAGCGTGAACTGGGACCAAGTGAACAGCTGCAGCACAGCACAGGTGATGGGCACCAGCACCAACAGGTAGAAGCAGCCCTGGCGGAGCGTTGGGGCCTGCGCCGGGGGCGGGGCCGGGGGCTCTGGCCATGGCTGAGCACTCCCCACAGGGGCCAGCGGGGGCTGCTGGAAGAGATCGTGACCTAGGACAAGAGAGAATGCAGAAAGAACAAGGTCAGCCCTGGTCTCCTCCAAAGTCCACAGCACAGCGCCACATCTCAAACAACACACGTGTACGTCTAAACCACAGCTCAATTCCTCCCCAAACTTGCTTTGCCTCTGCTCTTCCCTTCTCGGTGTCTGGTACCACTGTCTACCCAAAACCTCAGTCTTCCTGGGTTCCTCAGTAAACCTCACCACTCCCCAAAAGCCAATCCTTCACTTCCCCCCAATTCCAAAACACATCCGGTACCGGGACACTTTCTTCCGGCCCCCTTGGCACCGCTTGCTCCAAGCTTCCATCGCCTCGGCCACAGCCTCCCCACAACCCACTCCCCACACAGCAGTCAGGGTGAAGTTGAAAAAACATAGATCAGACCACGTCACTCCCCTGCTTAAAACCGTGGCAAATAGAATCTCTTCACAACGAGAATAAAATCCAAACCCTGCCCTGATTTACAGAGCCCTCTACTTTCCCAGCCTTGTCTCCTAACCATGGTTAGGATACCTTGGGCCTTTGCACTTGCCTCCCCTTCTGTCTGGGATTCACTGAGATCTTTCAAGACCAAATCCTTGCCCTTCAGTCCACATCCTAGGTGTCATCTCAGAGAGGCCTTCCTGGACCACACTAAAGTAGCTTCTCAGTCCCACTGTCCATTGTACCATTGCTTTTACCACTACCTGCTGTTTTCTCATTTGGCTGTTTACTGCCAACCCCATCCCTCCCCCCTGACTAGAATAAAAGTTCCATGATGGCAAGGCCATTGTTATTTCCCTAGAGGACCTGGAGCAACTCTTGGCAGAGAAAGTATTCAATACACATTTGTTGAATGAATGAATGAATGAATGAATGAATGAACGAACGAATGAACGAACTATTGAAAGACTGGAAGATTGGAGACTCAGTTCCTCTACCCATGTAGGGAGAGGCCGAGGAGGAATGGCCCAGGCACAGCTTCTGTCGGCCAGCTGCCATTCTCTCTCCCTTACTGGACCCAGTTTGTCTGCTGGTGTGCCAGGTAAGCTTTGACCCCTGGAGCCTCAAGAGCCCCTGCGCCAGCTCCCAGGGCCCTCACCTGTGTAGAAGCAGAGCAGCCAGGTGCCCAGCAGCGGGGCGAAGGTCTGGCCTGGCTTGGTCACCAGGGCCACCATGCCAAAGAGAAGAGCTGAGGCCGCCTGCTTACGGTGGTTCAACACCAGGTCCTCGTCCACCAGGTCAGTGACCACCAGAGTCAACAGCTTACAGGTGCCCTCAGTGAAAACACGGTTACTGCCAGCGGAGAGAGGGGGCGAGAATGAAGGGGTGGAACAGAGGCGTGGGGGTGAGGGAGGGCAGCGCGTACCTGGCAATGAAGAGGCAGAGCAGGCCGGGGCGGTCAGGGCCAGCCAACAGCATGAGCAGGCTCAGGCCCAGCTTGAGCAGGAAGAGCCCCCGCACCACGGCGTAGACGCCCCAACGCCGGCACAAGGGCAGGAAGTAGAGGTTGTTCAGGTGGGGAGCGACATAGGAGATGCCTGGGCAGAAAGGGTGCGGCTTTGTCAGGGGCCACTGCCATAGCTTCCACAATTACCCACACCTTGGGGTGCCCCGGGCGGGGGGTGGGGGGGGAGGAGGGCTCAGTCATTTGAGCAACCAACTTTGGCTGGGGTCATAATCTCACAGTTCATGGATTTGAGCCCTGTATCGGGCTTTGCACGGACAGCACAGAGCCTACTTTGGATTCTGTCTTCCTTTCTCTCGGCCCCCTCCCCTGCTCGAGTTTTCTCTTTCTCTCAAAAGTAAACATTAAAAAAATTGTTTTTAATTATCCACATCTTAACGATCAGAATCAGAGTTGGCATTGATTGAACACTGACGACGTGCCAGGCTCTGTGCGAAGAGCTTCACATCCTTTTCTTTAATCCCTACAACTCTTTAGGGTAAGTACTATATTATTCCTACTTTACAGGTGACAAATGGAGGCCCCAAGAGTTTAAATAAAACATACCCAAGGCCACACAGCGAATAAGCAGAGTCAAGAAGCACACCCAAGCCCCTCAGCCTGTAATCCTAGCTGTTAAATAGCTACTGCGGGGGGCACCAAGAGAGCAGCCCTACCCTACTCACATCCGCAACAGGCCCCGCCTCCCCTCCCCCGCAAACAGGGCCGGGTGGCGGCTGGACATGCAACCCCACAGCGGCCTCTGCCCCCTCTGCCCCCTGCCAGCCAGGCCCCAGCGCGGGAGGGAGTTGCGTCTGCAGCTGGGGGAGGGGTCCTGGGGTGCAAGCTTCAGTTCCTCCAGCCTGCACGAAGCGCCCACTCACCCAACAGGAAGGAGCCCGTGGACAGGGAGATGTGGTCCGACAACAGATGCTCCAGGAAGAGGGGGAAGAAGTTGCTGTTGAAGTGGCAGTGAAACACCTGCAAGCCGACAGGGTCAGTGAGGAGGCCGCTGGGCCGCAGGGCTGGGCAGCAAGGGCACCAGCAGGCTCTATCCTCATATCCCTCCACCTGGAGCATGCCAGAATAAAACCCCAAACCAAATTCCTATTGCTTATCTAGTTTTGCTAAAAGGTAGAAGGAATGATAAGATGGTCCACGGAATGATTAAGATTTTTTTACTCTTTAGTTTCAAATACTTGAGTAAAACAAGCTTGACAGTATAAACACCACCTATGTCTAGGCTGGGCTAGCCTCTGCACTGCATGTGTTTTAGCTATGGCACTTAGTGTTTTAAAAAGACTGTCACAGAGTTCCCAAAAGGGCACCCCTTTTTCATATCCTCACTGTGCAGGTGAGGACACCCAGGCCTGCCCTGACAGACCTTCCCAAGATCACACAGGGAGTTAGAAGCTCTGAGGGCGCCGGAATCCAGGCCTCCTAACTACCCGACCTGTGTATCCACTATCAAATTGCCCAGCAGTCCTCACACGAGGCCCAGAACTGCTTTCCCAGCTTTTGAGGAGCCTGTTCCCTCGAGTGGAGCGCGGCCTACCCGTCGGGCGGGGGCCCGTTCCCATACCTGCACCAGGTCCATGCCCACGAACCACAGGAAGTTCCGGTGGCGTGCCAGCTGCTGGAGGTACTGGCCCAAAGTGATGCTGCCTGCTTCCTTGCAGCCCACAAGCAGCTCCTCTCCACACAGGCTACAGGGCAGAGGGGAGTCACCGATGGCCTAAGGCTGGGCCAGAGCCATCTGCCACCCCAGGCCAGCCACCCATCAGCCAGGGGACTCAGCGTTGAAATCACACTCAGAAGTGTTGGTGGGAACCAGAAGAGCTGGGCCAGGCCACTCACCCGCCATCTATAGCCAGGGCTGGGCACTCCGGCTCCCTACCGGCTGCCTCAACCCGCCTCCTAAGCAGCCGTGTGGCCCCCACAAAGCCCAGCCCAGAGCCAGTGGCCAGTGCCACACAGAAGGTGCGGAAGGAAGAGAAGTCTTCCTTGTTCCAGAAGGCATAGGAGGCAAAGACGGAGAGGGAGCCAGCTGCACTGAAGAGGGAGCAGTAGAAGTTGAGGTGGGTACGGTCATGGGCAGAGAGGGCCAGGTCAGCCAGCAAGGCATGATGGTGCAGGTCCACGAGAGTCAGGAAACCATCATAGAGGCACAGGCACAGCAAGAACTGCAGGCCAGCTGGGGCCCAGGGCACCCAGAATGCCAGGAACGACAATGCCAGCAGCGGCCCGTGCCAGCCCAGGGCCCGCACCCGTGCCAGCACCACGGCCCTGGAGGAGAGCCCGGCACCCGACCTGCCAGAGAGAGGAGGAAAGTTGGGAGATGCTTTTACAAACTTGATGAGCCCCAGTTCCCCCCCTGCCCAGGCCCCAGAGGAAGGACAGAGGCCCAGAGTATGGAACTCACACCAGGGTGGTCCCACTGAGCCCTGAGTCCTCAGCCTCTGATTTAGGAAGCACAACTCTCCAGGGGGTACACTCTCTTGTCTGGTCCCTTGCCAAGCCTGCCAGGGCTGATGGCCAAAGGGTGGTGGGACACCTATTTCTCAGGGTTGGGGGCAGTGGTGGGCCCAAGCAGGATGGGGTAAAGGAATCTGCCAGAAGCAACAGAGAGCTCCCAGTTCTAAGGACCTGACAAGGCAAGCTGAGGTAAATCTCTTCCCACATGAGCAAGGCAACAGTTAGTCAAGGCCATTCTCCCACATGGCCAGAGCCTGACTGACCTTGGGAAGGGAGGGGGCCTGGTCAAAAGCTGAAAATGGTTTCCTTTTTCTCTCCCCACCCCAAACACAGACACCCCCTGGGGAGGAGTGGGATGGGACAGGACCCGTTGTGACCCACCCACAGGACACAAACCGGGGCTGGGAGCTGAGGAACTGACGGTCACTCAGCCAACCAAAGAGGGGGTCGTTGAGGCTGTTCCAGAGGAGAAACACCGTCTGTGGGCAGAGAGGAGATGGGGCAGGTGGGATCCAGGCAACCTCCTCTCCGGAGGTTTCCCCACCCAGCCTGCTCGCCACCCCTCAAGATGAGCACAGCTTTCCTGCCTGCAAACCTCTGCTCAGGTCAGTCCCTCTGCCAAAACCCACTCTACCAGCCACCGCCCCCCATCAAACTCCCACCCATCCAGGGTGAATTTATCCAGCTGATAAATGGACATTTATCAAAGCTCCAGCTCCAGCTTTTCTTGCTGAATTGAGGTGGGCAACCTGGCCAGCCCCAAGCTCCAGACTGGGTGGGACCCAGCCTTGCAATCCGCCTGGCTCCCACCCACTGCTGGCCTACCTCTCCAACCCAGAAGGCAGTTTTGTTGATCTTGTACACCGAGACAAAGGTGTCCACGTAGTAAAGCAGGAACACGTTGTGCAGGACGGAGATGAAGAGGGCCAGGGAGCCATAGACCACAGCCGTAGGCAGGCCCAGCATCCAAGCCTGGAGCCTGCCCAGCCCCATGGCTGCCAGCTCAGCCTCAGCCCCAGGAGCACTGAGGAGTGCTCACAGCCAAGGGCAGTCTGGCCATTCTTGTCCCTGGGGAAGAAGGAGCCCGTTAGCTGCAGGGATCAGAGCCAGCTCTGTTCCCAACCCCAGACCTCTGAGTCACTTAAAAACTCATTTCCACTGGCAGAAAGTTTGTACATCAAACCAAGCTGGGGAATCATCACTGACATCAATGACTGTACAGCTGAAACAGTGCTGGGCTGGATACCACTGAGAGTAACCCAAGAAGACTGATAAAGTCGTGGGAAAAGAAGTGCTGAGCCAGGTCACATGCTAGGGGAGTGTGCTCAGTATCTTCTTTCATCCACACTATCTTATCACACACACCTTCACAATCTGGATGTGATGACTGTGGGCCTGGGCACACAATGTCCCTGTAACCTCAGGCAAGCTACTTGACCTAAGCCTCAGTTTCCTTTTCTGTAAAAGGGCAAAGGGGATGATCATGTCCACTCTGCAGTGGAGGGTAAGGGTCAAGTGAGGTAACTCACAGAAAGCGTTCAATAATGGATGGTGGTGGTGTCATGATTATCCTTATAAAATCCCGACAATACAAAAATTATAGCACAATTACGATGTTATTGGAAAGCACCCCCAAGCTCAGATATGTTAAGTAATTTGCCCAATGTCAGACAGCAGAAAAGTGGGAGAGTTGACCCCTGACCTGTCTGGTTCCAAACCCTTTTCTGCCACTTGACCTTTCAAATCAGGTTCCTATACACTGTTGGGTAGAATAGAGAAAGTTGCTACGATGTCAGGTTCTGTAGGTATAGAAGAATGATATCATCTGGCAAGAGTCCACACCTACTCATGCACTTTGATTCTGGAAATTCCACTTCAAGGAACTAGGCCCAAAGGAATATGTACAGAGACGTTCATGGCAGCAACAGTAATAAACAGCAAAAAATTGGACACAGCCCAAGATGCAACAAAGAGACTGGCTCAGCAAGGCCAATGCTCTCCAGAAAAGGCAAGCATGTGGGCCACCTTGACACATAGGAGAGAAATTCAAGAACATGTTACATGAAAAGAGAGAATAAAGCACAGTGTGGGTTCCTGTCTTCCAACCAGGCTGACTTGTACACAGAGGCGGGAAGGCAAGACTGGCCATGAGTGGGAAGGAAATAAATCAGATTTTTATTGGAGCAGGACTTCTCAAACTGGAACGTACTTTCAAGTCACCTGGGTACTTCAAAATGTAGATTTTTGACTCAGGAGGTCTGGGGAGGAATCTGAGATTCTGTATTTCTAAAGGGCACCCAGGTGGCGTTGGGCTACTGGGCCATGACCACACTTTAAGCAGCGAGGCATTAAGTCTGGCTGTCTCTTTTTTTAGATTCAAAGCTGCTGTTCTCTTTTCAGAATAACCCGTGTGTGTTTGTCTGACCCCCCAAAGGGAAGCTATGAGGACTTCCTTCTAACTCCCTGTTGCAAGTTAAATCAATGTCCCCCCCCCAAAAGATATGTTCAAGCCCTAACCCCCAGTACCTGTGTGACTTTATTTGGAAACAGGATCTGTGCAGATGTAACCAAGTTGAGATCATAATGAATTCGGTGGGCTCTAATCCAGTGATGGGTATCCTTACAAGGAGAGGGAAATTTGGACACAGAGACAGACACACACAGAAAGAAGACGGCCATGTAAAGACAGGTAGAAATTGGAGTGATACAGACACAAGCCAAGGAACGCCAAGGGCAGCAAGCAACCACCAGGAGCTAGGGAAGAAGCAAGGGAGGATTCTTCCCTAGAGCCTCTGGAGGGAGCACAAGCAACCAGAGTTGATTCAGACTGTGAGAGAATAAATTTTAAGCCACCCAGTTTGCAGTAATCTGTTACTGCAGCCCTCTGAAATTTACACATACTCTCAAGGACTATTCCTGTTAGAGCCCTTGTGACCCAAGCCTAAACTCAGGCACATTGATGTGCGCACACACACACATAGCTGAAACTTCTGCTTCCCATCATGGCCGGGCCCTAGAGAGCCAATTTCAGCCCCAGTCCAACAGTAGTGACCCCCAGGACCTGTCCTTGCCCCATGACCCACTATGGCTCCCCCTCCATGTCCACCCTTCCAGAGCCTCTGCAGTCTCCCCGAGTCTCCAAGTCACCCTCTCCTCTGGCCAGGCCTTTGTCCTTGGTGGTACTCCTGCCAGAAGTGGCCTCCCATCTCCCATCCTTCAAGAGACCACACCATATCCAGACTTTCTCCAGCCCCTCACGGATGCCTCCTGCCGAGACTCTCCTGACTGCCTCCACTCCAACCTGTGGGTTTCCAAGAGCAGGGCCTGCTTCTTTGCCCGCCCTCTCCCTCAGAGGGCTGGACTCCACCACTCTCTGGTAGAGAAACAGGCCCTGAGGGGAGAATAAGTAAGGAATCCCAGAGGGATCTCTCAGGCTCATTGGAAAATGAGGGCAGTTCATTCAAGAGATCCAACCTGGCGCTCGTCTTTGCCTAGTGGTGGGGAATGAGGGAAGGAAAAGCAGATGGAACAACCTAAAACCAGCCACGTCTGTGAGAATGTCTCCTGAGCTACAGTGATCCTACTTTGGCATCAAAGCCGGAAGATGGCCAGGTAGCCTCTCTCTGGGGCTCTTGAGCCCCTGAAGAAACATTTGTTAGGAAATATTTTCCCCCCACAGTTTTATTGAGGTATAATTGATACACAGTGATCTGCATATATTCAAAGTGTGCAGTGTGATCAGTTTAAACTGTTTACACCTGTGAAACCACTGCCACAATTGACATCATGAACATATCCATCACCCTAAAAGTCTCCCTGGCACTTTCTAAGGAACATAGCAGAAAGAAAACACAGTTGAGGGTCTTGTAAGTCCTGACTCTACCATTTACTACCTGTGTGACATGGAGCGATTTGCTTAACCTCTCTCTGACTTTCTTCATGTCCAATGTGGGGCCGACTATTGTTAGCAGTCTAGGGGAAATTATTCTAAAGCCCTTAGCACATAAGTGTGGTGAACACTCAAACTTCAGACATTACTGCTATTGAGCCTCTCAGACCTTCCAAACCCACCACACAAGGATGGGGTGAGTGTTTAAGTAGGCTTCACACCCAGCGCGGAGCCCAACGAAGGGCTTGAACTTCCGACCCTGAGATCAAGCCCTGAGCTGAGATCAAGAGTCAGACGCTCAACCAACTGGGCCACCCAGGTGCCCCAAGGATGGGCTATTAATCTAAAGGTGCTTTGGGGCTGTGAAGCACAACTTACACCTCTGTTGCTATCCTTAACCCAGGTCACTTTCTCTGATTCCCCAGGGCCTTTCAGAACCCCTTGCCCCCACACACACCCCACCCCACCTCACCTCACCTCCAAAACCTTTGTCCAAAGGGAGTGAAGGCTCCCAGGCCCCTACCCAGATGTCCAGTGTCCTGCCCTGGTTGCTAGAAGGTAAACCTTGCAGGCAAGTCCCCAGCCTCCACCAGCTGGCTTCCTGCTGAAATGGCAGAAGAAAACCTCAGAGGGGGTTGAAGTGGGAGGGAAGGGTGTGACTTTTGCCATCAGAAGAGGCGGAGTTTAAATCCCAAATGCACTTCCTACTAAGAATGTAACCTCAGGCAAGTCACTTAACCTGTCTGAGCCTAGGTTTCCTCCTGTGTAGGATGTGAACAATAATATCCATCCTTTTTTTTTTTTTTTTTAAACATTTTTTTCATTTTTGAGAGAGACAGAGACAGAGCACGAGCAGGGGAGGGGCCGAGAGAGAGGGAGACACAGAATCCAAAGCAGGCCCCAGGCTCTGAGCTGTCAGCACAGAGCCTGACGTGGGGCTCCAACCCACGAACCGTGAGATCATGACCTGAGCTGAAGTCAGACACTAAACCAACTGAGCCACCCAAGTGCCCCATAATACCCATCCTTTAAAGGAATGCAGGAAGGATTAAACTAATGTCCAGAAGCCCAGAGCACTGTTACATGGAAGATGTTTAGAAACTGGCTTTTTCTTGGGCTCACTCATAAAAGATCGGAGTAGGAGCAGGGGAATATCCTGGTAATCCAGTCCCTTCTCATGGTAAGGCAATTTGAGAGAAAAGACAGGGCACACAAGGGTAAATCAAAAGAGAGAATCTAGGGGCACCTGGGTGGCTCAGTGGGTTAAGTGCCCGAATCGAGTTCGGGTCAGGTTATGATCTCATGGTTCGTAAGGTAGAGCCCCTTGTCCTGCTGGGATTCATTCTCTCATTCTCTCTCTCTCTTAAAATAAATAAACTTAAAAAAAAAAAAAAAAAGGTTAAGAAAAAGAGAGTCCACAAGTAGCAGGAATGCACGCAAAATTCAGGAGTGCCAGACACAAACCCACGCCACAGGCCAAAGCCGGAGGCAAAACAACCTGTCCAGATAAGCCTCTGCCTGGAAGAGGAGCTGGGGAAGGAGTGTCCAGGGTCCCTCCAGCAGTTTCTCTTCCGGATTCTGCTCCTCCCCCAGGAAACACCTTCTCCTACTCACCCTTCCCACCCTCAATACGCCCCAGCAGAGAACAAGAGCTCAGCCTCTCCAGGGGAGGAACAGCTTGGAACCCACACCAGCTCAGGTGCATAACCCAGGGGAAATATCCTGTAACCAACTCCAACCCTACCTTGGCACCTGGCAGGAGAGCCTGTTGGAGGCCCCCAGAGCCTACCCCCTCCCCCCACCCCCTGCTGGTATGGTGCCAGTTATGTGGCTTTGAGCCAGCCTCTTCTTCTCCCTAGGCCCAGTCTCCTTATCTATAAAGTGGGATGATAATGCCAGCCTCTCGGATTGCTGAGGGGCTGAAATGCAAAAACGCACCAAGCACAGAACCTGGCACATACAAGTTCCTCAATAAATAGTAGCTACTGTTACTCTTTTTCATATCTCTGCTGTCTGGTTTCTTGGTCTTTCTAGCACCCAGCACTGATGCCTCTTGCTGCCATCCCTCAAATTCTCTTTTAAATGCCACCTCCGCACCTTTGTT